TTCGGGGCCCCTGTGATGAGCTCTACCTCGGATCTTCCCACCACGGAAATACTTTGCAGTTCTCCTCCAGATTTTTCTTCCGTCCGTGGTGGTGGCACAGGCGATCCCCGAGGATGTAACCCTCGGAGGAAACTCTTCCTTAGGAGTGGCAGAGCAGGGTGTTCTGTCCCCTATTCCTGGCCTTCTGCAGACCCTCCTCCCGTTCTGAGCTGCCCCTTCTCCGACTGCCAGGCGTACTGTGGCTGTAAATTAATGAAAACGTAACAACTCAAAAAGGGAAAAAAAAAAAAGAAAAAAAAGAAAAAAAAAAGATGGTGCTGAAACGTACGGATGAGACATAAAAGCAATGGAAAAAGGTTCAAAGCTTTCAGTGATGACTTTTCAACCTTTATTTATGTGCCTATTAATGCAATATCCATCATGGAGATACGCATCTTTATCCTTTCAACTGATATGCTGGGAATCAATTGGATATGCAGATTACATTTCATAAGTTTCCAAATGTTAATCTCCCCGGCCCTTTGCTGGTAATTTCTTTTTTAGCCAAATAGTGTTATGTTTCTGCCACCAAAAAAACTCCCCAAAATAAAACAAAACAAAATACAAAAAATTTAAAAAACAAAGACCCAAACCAAAACTAAAACAAAACACTCACTAAAAATAAATATTCCTGAGGCTACTTGTCTCTATTTATTGCTAAGGCTCGGGCCCAGGAGCTGGCCCCTCCTGCCCGCTGCACCGCCGCCTCGGGCCTTCCCAGGGCATCGGGCCCCTCTCCGGGTTCCTCCGGGGCGGAGGCGCCCGCGGGCTCGGGCAGCCCGCTGTCCCCGCAGCACGGTGTCTGTGGGCCGGGGAAGGTGTCCGAGCCGGTACCTTCCCCTCATAAACTGTGGCTGGTTCCCTCCCAGCCTTACAGCCTGGCGACCGGAGAAGCGTCCCTCCGATCCCACCGCCCCATCCCCCCGATCCCACTGCCCCGTCCCGCCGATCCCACTGTCCCGTCCCCCCGATCCCACTGTCCCGTCCCGCCTATCCCACCGCCCCGTCCCGCCGATCCCACGGCCGCGTCCCGCTTCCCGGGTGGCTGCACGGCGCGGGGCTCCCTCCCTCACAGCCCCCGGCTCGACGAGTAATGTCCCCGGACACCTCTGGGTCCGTAAACGGGGAGGGGTGATGTGCGAATGTAGGGTGCGGAGCGGCTTTCCTCGGAGGGCTCTATGGCGGAGCTGATTTCTGAGGGCGAGCCCGGGCTGTACGGAGCTGCCCGTGGCTGCGGCCGCCGGCGGGGTGTCGCGGGATGCCACCACCTGCTGCCTCCCTACCTGCTCCTCTTCTCCGTCCCACCACCCCCTGACACTCCCCATCGCGTCCCCTCTCGAAGCAGGCGATTCAATAACCGCGCATATTACACTGACGCCAAATTTCTTGAACAATATTGAAGTTTTTCTTCAGTGGCATTTTACAACTCGCCGCCCTAGGGGGGTCACTCTCTTCCGAGCACGTCGATACCGCTTTGGCTGAACGCGCCTCTGCTCGGGGGCAGCGCTCCTGTGTCCCCACGCCTGGCTTGCGGTGGGGACGGACCCTCCTAGCGCGGAGCACACGCTCGGGGCTGGACAGCGGTCCCTGGAAGCCCCAGCCCCGCAAGCCCAGCTGCCCATCCCGCCGGGCACACCCTCCCTCAGCGGCGGGCAGCGCTCTCGGCCTCTGGCCCGTCCGGCAGGCCGTGAGCGGGCGGCAGAGGGTCCCCAAGGCACACACCCGCTCGCTATGAGAGAGACGGGGGAAAGAGGGAAACCTGTGTGAAGGGAAAGCCGTGAGGCAGTGGATGAAGCTCAACTGGGCAGCCCCGAGGGTTTTGAGGTTTTTTTTTTAGGTGTTTATGGCGAGGACAGCGTGGAGTACGAAACATCAGTTGCAGGCATCCATACTCAATAGTTATGTCAGTTTTGACTTCTTTCGTTCTTTCTTGGGGTTTTTAGTGTTGGTGCTTTTCGATTTTCTTTCTTTCTCTTTCTCTTTCTCTCCTACTCCCTCCTCCACTTTCTCTCTCCTCCCTTTCCTTTCCTTTCCTTTCCTTTCCTTTCCTTTCCTTTCCTTTCCTTTCCTTTCCTTTCCTTTCCTTTCCTTTCCTTTCCTTTCCTTTCCTTTCCTTTCCCACACTTTTTATCTATCAAACTGTACAGTCTCCTCTCCACCTCCTTTGGAAATAGCCGGGGACTTCGCTTCGAAACCCGTATGAGAAATGATTTTGTGCACTCAAAACCGGAAACAGTGTAATTGATTTATTTCTAATAGAGGGGAGACCAACACTGTTTATCGTTCAGAAATTATTGCCTGTGTTCTTAATAGCTCTAATTTTCACTGTCCATTTGATGTGCTGCAGGTTTAATATAGAGCACTTACTAATCCAATTAAAAGTGCACCTGGCCTGGAAGAGCTCTGTAATTAGCAGGAGCGTTTTTAGCTATTTCCACTGGAAAACCGTGAAATCATCTCTGCTGGCCTAAAGGACTGTAATATGGGGGTGGGGGCGAGGAGGGGAGGGAGGAGCGGGGCCAGGCATTCGTGCCTAATCTTTTTGCCTTGAATTTTTCACAGTTCCCGTGCGGGAAGATGAGGCTGTTTCATCGCGGGGCGCTCGGTGTCTGGTAGCACAGGACCGCGAGGGCGAGACTAGGTGGGTTTCACCCGGCTTTCCCCTGCCGTCCATGCGAGCCCTGTCGGGAAGCGTGTCCTGGGGAAGCGCGGCTCGGTTTGGGGCTGCGGGGACGAGCTGGGGCCACGGCAGCCCCACGGGACCGGGTGCGAACGGGGAACTGGGGCTGCGGGAGCTGCCAGCCCTGTCGGGGGAAGTGTCCGGGCCCCTGCCCCGGCTCCGATCCCCGGCCGGGAGCGATCGCGGGGAGCAGCGGCGGCTCCGGAGCTCCGGAGCCGGTTTGTGGCAGGGCCGGCACGGGATGAGCCTGGGGCGGCCCCGGCGCGACACCGGCTCCACGCAAAAACACGCGGCACGCACACGAAGGCGCGTCCTTAAAGGACGGGGGAAGCAGCTGAAAAACACTGCCCAGGCTGGCTCTCCTGCCGGGATGAGATGAGCGGCTCTGCTCCTCCTCCTCCGCGGGCGAGGGGTCGAGACAGTCCCAGTTCGCACTCCGCCTCGCGTGGGGGAGAATTACTGCCCACAGCATCACAATGGCACCCCTGGCGATGGCTAGGAAGGGTTTCTGCTCTCGTGCTCGGAGCCGCTCGGTACCGGTGGGGAGTGAGGTGGCCACGGGGATGCTGTTAGCGCCGTGCGGCCCTGCTCCTCGCCGCGGGGTTCCCAAGTGAACTAAACCCTAAGGAGTTTAATATCTTTTTTTAAAATAACGTTTTTACCGACTTCCTCCCCGCAGTAAAAGGCGCGTGGCGAGTGGCGCGGCGTGGTCTGTGGAGCGACGGCTCGGGCCGCACGGCTCCCGCCGCCCGGCCCGGGCCCTCCCCGGCTGCCGCCGGCGCTCCAAGCCCGGCTCGGCCCGGCTCTCACGGCACTGGGCTCCCGTAGGGCTCGCTAACGGGTTTTCCAGAGCTGCGGCCACAGGAGTGTTTGTAGAACACAAACGCTCTGTGAAATACACGCTTACTTTCACTGAGTGTGAACTTTCCCTGCCAGCCTCTTCCTCGGGGTGCGGGAGCGTTCCCGGGCAGCACCCGGTGCTGGATCTGTTTGTGTGCCTTTGAAAGCGAGGGAACCGCTCGGTTTGGTGGCCGGAGCGTGGGGCTAGAGAGAGAAGCACCCCGCGTGCAGTGGGTGCCGGTTCTTCTGCGGACCCCTCGCTCCCACTGCGGAGCGGAGCCCGGTGCAAACTCCGAGTTTCCCCGGGGGCCGCGCCGGGCTGCTGCCGGTCCCTTGACGGCCGGTTCGCTTATTATTAAGGCTCCGGATTTCCACCTAAATAATGCGAACCCCTGCCCACCCTGGGGTCGGCCCCGGCCCCGCAACGATCGTCCGGCTCGTAAAGGGAACGCGGACTAGGAGCCCAGAAAACATTTTTCCCCTTCATTTCAAAGGAGGAAACCTGAGCGATTCTCATCCTTTTGATTGATTAAGGTCTTGAATAACTTGAAGCTCGGGAGTGACAGTTCCTGAATAGACGATTGCAAATAAAGAGCCCTGTGGAAAGCCGGGCTGGCACTTCGGAGTGTAAAGGAGGCGAGTTTGCTGGCACTTACCAAGTTATAAATAAAAGGCCGTGCACAATGGTACCTTCTCTAAGGACAGACAGTCTTTACAACACTCCTGGCGTCATATCCTGCTGTGGGCACTCCAGCTCCGAGGCAGACTTTACCTCTTTTATTTTTCCAGCAGTTTAGTTTGAATACTACAATAAATTCCTGGGAACAAACGCTTGTTAGTAAGACTTTAACATGCACCGCCTCGCACCCATACACATATATAAACCCAAACGCACACGCGTGAAGCGCAGGGACAGCCTTGTCCCACCGGTTTTTAAAAGTAGACATCCCCACGGAGATATCGCTGCCAGCTCTTCCTCTCAAAACCGTGAGCACCATTTGTTCCAGAGATGTTTCTTCTGGACGGAGAGAGATTTCGGTTCAAAGTAAATAAGTAAAAGGAAAGAATAAAGGAAGAAGCATTTTTTTCTTTAAAATTAAAAAGGTTGCTGCCCCCACCCCGCCGCTGACGCTCGGGGAGCAGAACCAGGAGACAAAACGCTTGGTGGCAGCCAGGCGGGGGCTGTCCCGTGGAGTCCCGCGGTGACACGGGGTCCTGAGGAGTGCGATGTCCAGGCCGGCCCGGTTGTGCTTCCCTCCCGGGGCTGGGGCGGCCGTCGGGGTACCGCGTAGATCCCCATCGCCGGCCGCCCTCTGCTTGCGGGGAAAGGGTCCAGCGCGGCTCTGCCCGCGGGGTCAGCGCGGGGCCGGGCCGGGCCGGCCGGCCCCTGCCCTCCCGGTGCGGGGCAGCGCGGGTCACTGACAAAGGGGCAGCGGCGGAGCTGCCTCCTCCCCGCCCCTCGGCGGCATCCCCCACCCCCTCCGGGACCGCTCCTGATTCGGCGGGGCCCGCTGACAGCGCGGATCTCCCCTAGATCAGCCCTCACCTGGATATAACCCTGCCGGCCGCTGCCGCTGCGATGACAACTCTGGCCGGAGCTGTCCCCAGGATGATGCGCCCCGGGGCCGGGCAGAACTATCCCCGCAGCGGGTTCCCGCTGGAAGGTAAGGCCGCGCCTGTGCTGCTCCCGGTCGGGAAAGGGATAAGCATTCTGTGCCGGGACGCCGGAACAAAGCGGTCCCCCCGGCCCGCCGGAACGGGCGCACGGAGTCCTCCAGGACAGCTGCCCGGCTTCCCCCTGGGCTGTCAGAGCAGGGTTTGTCCCAGGACGGGCACGGCTCGGGCCGCTGCAGCCGGCGGCTCCGGCCTCGCACCCCCCGAGCGGCCCGTCCCGCGAGCGGGAGGTCGGCAGCGCAGCCGGCCCCGCTTCTCGTAGTGGAGTGAAGGGGGGAGATTTGGGGAGCCCAAAGTTGGGGAAAAAGTTAGGGAAAAAATTAAATTCGAGTAAAAGCAATGCGAATCGAAAGGAAGTTTAGAGCGGTGGGTCGGCACCGGGCCGCTGCGAGTGGCCGCTGTTAGTTAAGGCAGTGGCGGTGCGAGGGCCCCGCAGTGCCGGGGACTGCCAGGCCCGGGCCCGAGCGAGGACGGGCGGCTGCCGCGCCTCCACCGCCGCTCCCGGGCCGGCCGAGCCGAACCGGGCCGGCCCGCGCTCCGCCGGGGACACTGCGGCCCTCCCGCACCGCTTGCCCGTTCTGAAAGCCGGCTCCGGCTGAGTGCAACAGGTGAAGCCCGGCCGGCTCTCTGCACTGCCCGCCGGGCCGGCGGCGCGGTCTCCCCGGGAGCTGCGGGCCCCGGGCGCGCGGCGGGGCGGGCGGGGGTGAGCTGCTTTATGGAAAAGCAAAGGCAAAAATACAGTAACAACAACAACAACAACAAAAGAAAAAAAAAAAAAAAAGACGCAGCAGGATCCGAAGGAGACGTTAACGCCATTTACCCCCCTACCTCCCTTCCCTCCTTTTCTAGTCTCTACCCCTCTAGGCCAGGGCAGAGTCAATCAGCTCGGAGGAGTGTTTATCAATGGCAGGCCTTTACCCAACCATATCCGGCACAAGATAGTGGAGATGGCCCACCATGGCATAAGGCCCTGTGTCATCTCCCGCCAGCTGCGAGTGTCCCACGGCTGCGTCTCCAAAATTCTCTGCAGGTACCAGGAGACGGGCTCCATCCGGCCGGGGGCCATCGGCGGCAGCAAGCCCAAGGTGAGCCTCTCCTGCCCGCCCGGAACCGGGCAAAACCCATTCGCGGTGGCGGGGAGCGAGTTCCGACCAGGACACGGTCCAGGCTGGTCGGCACCGGGGTTTACAGGCGGGACGGCGGCCCCCGGGAGGGCTGGGGGGACCGTGCGAGGCCGGCGGTGGGCGCAGACACTCCATGGGACACAGCACCCCCGCCGTGTCCCCGCCTGTTGCTCTCAAACTTCCCGAGGTTTTAGAAAATATTGTTGGAGTTCTTGGAAATAATATACTTTTAATTAAGGAAATACGAAAAAAATGCTATTTAAACAAACAAACAAACAAAACAAAAACCAAAAACGAAAAAAAGGCGAAAAGGGTTTTTTTTTTTTTTTTTTTTTTTTTTTGAGCGCTTGTCTGCCCAGAGCCCCGCGTGCCCCACGCTCTTTTTCCCGCAGGAGCGCAGGCGGGCTCGGGGCTGCGGGACGGACCGGGATGCGATCGGTCCGGTGGTGGAGCTGACCCAGCAAGGCTGGATCGGGCCCTCCCCGCTTTCGTTGAAAGTGCAACAAAACGACCTGTATTTCTGTCGGTCTATTTACCGCTCCTTCTCCTGCTCTGTTTACTTTTTCTCTCTGCTCTAGAGCTGCGTGTATTTATAGCTACGCCACCAAAAAGTTTGCGCTAACAATAACGGAGACGAAAATTTTCCCCAAGACTAGGATTCTCCTTCTCTAGCTTTTATTTCCCATTAAAGCGAAGTAAAGGCTTGAGTATTTATTAGAAGTTGTTGCTAGATTTCCCCCCCACCACCACCACCCTTTCTTTGATTCTTCTAAAGTAACGAAACGATGCCCGAACTTTTCCTTTCCGTGTTACGAGTAGAGGTAATTTTCTATAAGCGTACTACTCAAACGTAAGGCTATTGGCAGCCAGTTCTTTTTGTTTGGTTTTTAGTTTTATTTTAAAATCACGAGGCTACCGAAGAAAAATGCCGGCACTCGAACTTCTCCGCGTTTTTATTACGCTGGTTTTTGTTCGGAGCTGCAAACTTTGTTCAGCCGAAACTTTACTGACCTGGAGCTTCGTTGCCCGGAGTCCTCCTCTGGTCGCGACCTGGTATTTTCTCGGCCGCACAGCAGCCTAATTCGGGGTTTTCCATGCCGAAGACTCTGTCCCACCTTCCCGGTAACCCCGGTGGATTTTCTGGGACGTTTCGTTTAACGCGGAGTGTGTTCGTTTTATGCGGCCCGTTATTACCTTCTGTGTCCCCTCTTTCTTTACCCTGCCGCATTCGGGTGTTTTATATCGGCGTTTCTAAGCGGGGCCGCTGTCGGCTCTCGCTGACGACGGCGCGGGCGGCTCCGACCGCCCCGGGGCTCTGGCGGCGGCAGCCCCGGCTCCCCCGGCCCTACAGACTGTGCCCGCTCGCTTGTCTTTACTGAAGCAGGTGACGACGCCGGATGTTGAGAAGAAAATAGAGGAATACAAGCGGGAAAACGCGGGCATGTTCAGCTGGGAGATCCGGGACAAGCTGCTGAAGGACGGGGTGTGTGACCGCAACTCGGTACCGTCAGGTACGGAGCGGGGAGTTCGGGGTGTCCCGGAGGGTCGGGGGCGGCCCGGGGAGGTCAGCGCGGTAGCCGGGTGAGCCCCGTCCCCTCGGGATGGGAGCTCCGGGCCGGAGCGGTGCCCACGGAGCCGCCGGCGTTAGCGCGCGGTGCCTCCCTCCCGGGAGGATTCCTGCTCTCGGCGGGGTGTTTTCAATTAAATCGCAACTGCAACCCCCTCCCCTCCTCCTCCCGACGCTTCCCCGCCGTCCCCTCCGGGCTGCTGCCGCAGGAGGGCTCGGAGCTCGCTGGAGACGCGGGGCTGGGAAGCAGGAGATGGGGAGCCTCCCTGTGCCGGCGGGTTGCTTGCGGGATGGGGCGGAGGGCACATGCAGCCGGAGCAGTATTTGTGAGGGGTCCGAGGGTCTAGCCGGAGCAGTATTTGTGAGGGGTCCGAGGGTCTAGCCGGAGCAGTATTTGTGAGGGGTCCGAGGGTCTTTATCACCCCCCACGCGGGCTCGGGGGAAAGAAAGATTCTCGGGAGCCGCTGTGCCCGTGCTGGAGCCCGGTGCGGGACGGTGCCCCGTGAAACCCCCGCGGGGACGGGAGTGACAGGCTGCCTTCCCTAAGTCCCGGCTGGCAGTGGCCGAGGGACACAGGCCAGTGGCACTGAGGGGGGACTCGGCTTCCCGGGCTGACCCGAGAGCCGCGGGGGGCTGCTGGGGACGAGCCGGTCACAGCTCTGCACTCCCCCCCTGAAGTGAGCTCCATCAGCCGCATCCTGCGGAGCAAGTTTGGGAAAGGCGAGGAAGAGGAGGCTGAGCTGGAAAGAAAAGAGGTGGAGGAAGGCGACAAGAAGGCCAAGCACAGCATTGATGGCATCCTCAGCGAAAGAGGTAAAGTCCTGCTTGCTCTCCGTGGAGCCCTGCGACGGCCCAGTGCCAGTCCCAGGTGCTGGTGGCTATCGCTCCCAGTCTCCAGAGGTTGTCCTGGGGCCAGCCCAGCGGGAGATGTAGGGCGAGCGAGCCCTGCCAGCCTGGCTGCCAGATCCCATCGTATCCCACTGCCCCAGCGGAGTGACCCCACAGTGTGCGGGAATGGCGCAGAGGCTGCAACAAAGATGGGAGGCAGCGCTAGTCTGGCTTTCAGGGAGCAGGGAGGGTTGGGGCCACCACAGAGCCCCTCACCACAGCCGTGCACGGGCTCCTCTCCCAAACCAAGCAAAAGGCTGCAGCTGCATAGGAGGAGTAGCTGTAGCAAAAGCCTGCGGAGCCTCAAGTCTCTGCAGTCTGAACAGGGCAGGGAGACACATGTTTTGTTTTTTCTGCTCTTAAAAGTGCTGGGGAGAGCATGTGTTGGTGTTTGGCCCGCGACTGCGAGGAGGTTGCAACCTGAACAAGGCGGAGGTGAAGGGCTGCTGCGGGGGGACAGCTGCTGCTCCCGCTGGAGCCGTGCCTGCTCCCGGCCGGGCCAGGGTGCAGGGGCAGGCAGGGCCCGGCCCGGCCGCCTGTGCGTGGAAGTCGCTGCCCAGCACAGGCACAGGCACTGGAGAAGGCGAGACAAAAGTACCAAATGAGCTGGTCAAACATTTGTACAACTTTTCCAGCTTTTACAAAGAAGGCCTTCTATACACAATCTACACTTGGAGATGAACTTGGAAAACAAAGAGGGGGGAGTCCATTGAAACTCACACTTTGGCTTTGCACAGACAAAGCTTCAGCTAGCAGCAGCTTGATGTGAACAAAAGAAGGCAACCTTTTTATAATTCAAGGAGAAAAGAAGAGAAAACAGCCCCACAAAAGGCTGAGAAAAGACATTATGGGCTTGCAATGAGGGATGAATTATTCAATGAGCCCCTAATAGCTGATGCTCCACGCAGTTTTATGGACTCACAAACGTGGAAAAAAATAGCTGTTTTTAGAGAGAAAATGTTTACAGCATTTCTAGACATCAAGGGATGCTGGTGCTGTGCAAGGACAACAGAAATCCGTTCTTTGACAGTAGGACATGTCCTTGTTTCGTTAGAACAAACCCCTAAACCCTCCTAAAACTTAGTCTTCAACTGTTATTAAAACTTCCAGGGAAGCCTCATCTTCTGTGTGTTTGTGTTTGCAAGGAGGTGTGTAGTACAGACATGCAGAAGATGCTAACAAAATTAGAGGTGTTAAGGCCAGAAGGCACAGTTTGATTGCCTGGTCGACTTGCCTCCATATGATGTGTCCAGAGTTCCCTCCAGCATCTCCTTCAACAGAGGATTTTTCCAAGAGGGATGTGCACCGAGGGAAAAATAGCTAAATTCAGTGCCCTAGTTGTTAAATAAGCTTTGCTGCCTTCTTCAATTTCTTGACAGAGATTAGAAACAGAAGATAGTAAGCCTTGATAATATCACTGCCTTATGGAACAAAGAGTCGTTAATAGAGACAGCAAGAGAAAAAAATACTGTTATCAATATAACCCATCCTTCTGTTTCTCTTTGAAACAGTCTTCCTGTTCTTTAACTGTCTGCACTTTAAAGTGGGGCTCCTGATTTATTATAAATCAGTGTCTGGGTGCATGGCTGCCTTCCACCAGCCCAGGGGAGCCCCAAAACTCTTGCAGGAAAGCCGCTGGAGCTGGTGATGCCTTGCTGAAGGAGTGGCTCGCTCATGCCTCCCAGCACAGTCATAGGAGGAGGCTGCTGCGATGTACCCTCTTTTTCACTTTCTGTGGATGCGAATGTCTAACTTTATTTGTTTTGAGTTCAATCAGTAGCAATTTTCCCCTTGATTACATGGGGTAGTGTAGTCCTCTCCTGCCCTAGGCATGCAGGTTTTTTGCTGCGTGAACGTGACCGGACAGTTCCGTGGAAACGGCAGCTTTGGTAATCCCATCTGTTCTGTGACAGTGGCTGGGAAGGCTTGGCAGTGTGAGGGAGAGTGTGCTCTTCCCCACAGCAACGCAGGCTCCCCCTCCCTGACTAGCAAGCTGTTGCTTAATCTCATTACTGGAGTGGCTGGGATGCTGCAGAGTGAGCGCGCTGCTGCTCCAGAAAACATTTGTTGCCGCACTCGTGCCCTGCATGGAGTGTGATAATATAGCCACAGCACACCAGTGACACCATTACAAGAAAAGAATAACCATAAAAGAAGCCCACCACTACTTTCCGTATCTGACCAACAACAAAAAGTTCTGCTTCAACTCCATTGCCAGGCGAGGAGCTTTGATTTCACTCCATCTATAAAAGCAATCCTGTGCTGTTACTAAAATAACTGGCAGCGCTCCTCAGGATTTTGATGCCGCAGGATCATATTTGCCAGCACCCACCAGCTTGGCTACAAGGCCTGTTGTGGCAGAGGGTGCCCGCTGCAAATGCATCTCAGATGCCCTTCTGACACTTGGGCTGCTTGCGGAATGTCCAAAGGGTATCCATGTGCTGTGCAGCAAAGCCCTTGGTGCCAGCCCAGCGCTGAGCGCTCTGCGTTACAGAGGGGAAAAAGGTGCGGGGTTTTGTGCAATATGAGGAGTATTTGTAGCCCTGTTCTTGGGGGCTTGAGGTATCCTGGGGCTTGGGTGCCAGGGAAGGCTGTGGGATAGGTCAGAAAGTGACTCCTGAGGCTGTTCACGATGGCTTTTCTGCTCGGGAGCACACATTAGTGCTGGACTTTTGCTGGCGCTGCCTGAAATCCCCTCCTCACCATGGGCCTTTGGGTGGCTCAAGGAGTGGCATTTTTTGTAAGGACAAGGACAAGATTTGTCATTTTAATGGTAGCTAATTCAAGATTTAGGGAGCATTTACAGCAGAGTGGGATTAGAGAGAAGGGAAATATGATATTTTTCAAAAATGTGTGTCATTGTGTATCACTGGGCTCTCTCCCACCACATATATGGGTGTAGGTAAACTTTTGTATGGCTGGTGTGATTCTGTTCCATCCTCTCTTCCTGGACACTTACACGTGATTCTCACACAGTTTACAGACGCCACATGTGCAGCCCTGTACATGCTGTATTTCAGTGTTTCTGCCAGCGTCACCCTCAACTCTGGTTCTGGGGATATATTTAAAGAAAACTTGATTGTCAGAGTGTGTATCAGGAGTCTGATAGCTCTATAACAGCATATCTGTATTTCTGCATGCATGATAATTTTTTTCATAAAGGCACAAGCCATAAATAAAGAACACCAGAAAGTTTTGTGCCTTTATGTGGCACATCAGGGCTTATTTTTAGCATAGCCACTACAGAAGAGGGACTTACTTGTACCTTTGGTGGGAGTTATGTGCGGCATGGTTTGCTGACTAATCCGATAACTCCCCCCTTCATAAAATAGCTGTTGTTTTCTGGCAGCAACCAGTGGCTTTCAGCACTGCAGCGATGAGGCAGAGCTGGTCCCCGGCCTTCTGGGGAGGGGGCTGGGGCCGGGACCCCCCTCCCGGCCTCAAAGGGGGCCTCTGTTCCCAGCCAGCGGAATTGGCCCCCGGGCCCTGTCCCGGCGGATCCTCCCCCAGTCATGCGCACCCGTCCAAAAAGAGCCCTACTCATCCCAAGCCTCTACCCTTGGCTGTACTGAGAGCAATTCAGGCTACAGCAGACTAAATTGCCTCCTTTATTTTCTTCTTACTTTCATCTTGGACCAAACCCTTCCCCCTTTCCCTCCCCTTCCTCTTTTCTTTTTTTTCTGTGTGCCTGAGGCTCACATTAATACAATTTCGGCACCACCCCTATTTTAGAGTGTGTATGTGGGGAGTTTGAGGGGGTAGGAAAAAAAAGGACCTTAGCACAAAAGCCCCGCTCAGCAGCTCGAAAGTTCAAGCTGCTGCTGCCTCTCTAGCTGTGTGATGCTTTTCCTGTTTGTGAGTTTTGGGAAACATTTTTGCTTTGTACTGTAATGGAATTAGAGGACAGATGCTGACTGTAAATGGGACACGCGACTACCAGCCCCTAGCTTAAATATTTAGATGCAATGTTACAATTACTGACTTGATGCAGTAGGCTTTGAAGTGGTGGCACATGATCTAAAGGGTAGCTCGAGCTAGATGGGCTGGCAGATGTTTTGATTAGGGCTGGTCAGTATCATGCAGCCAGTTATTTTTAGATTGCTAAACTAATAAAGACACTTTATTAAGGGAGAAGATTAACATGGAGGCACCAGATATCAGTTTGAGTCATTCATTTCTACATAGGAGACTGTTGGATTAGTGGCTGGAGCATGGGATGAGTCAGATGCTGAGTTAGATTTTGGTTGCACGGGTTGTCTTGGTTTTTCTCCCGTGTCCTGTCCCATGGTGCAGTGGTAGGAGGATTTAGGTGCTGTGTGAAATGCTGTTGTGGGCTGAGAAGCACAGTTTGTTCCCCTGCTCAGTGTTCATGGTGAAGATTCACTTATTGAGTGTGATGTGATAGCTGTGGCTGCAGGCAGTTATCTCCCTGAGCCTGAAATTTCACACAGTACTCAATGTATTGCTCACTAGCAGGTCTAAGAAATCAACTCATGTTACTTGAACAGCGTAGTTTCTGAGGCTCTCAGAGCTGACAAGAAAATAGTACTTAATTAAGAAAAACTCCCTAGTGAGTCCAGATTTGGCTTAAGAGAGACAGTGCCAACTATATTTTCTGTCTTTTTTCCCTTCTCTTTCCTCATGTGCTTAATAGTGAGAGTCCAGGCAGAGCAAACAGGTATTGCACAGGCGCAAATTGGTGCAGGTGATTCCACGCAAACCCAGCACAGCTTTGTTTCTTCTGCCTGACCCATCGTCACTGTGGGGCTCTGGGCCAGGCTTCTTCTTCCAAATAGTAATAGTAATACTAATACTAATACGAATACTAATAATAATAGTAGTAGTAGTAACGACTGATGAGCTCAGCAGTGAATAATGACCTCACCATCAAGTGAGAGTGTGATGTCCCAGCATGCTGAGCATTT